TATTTGCGGTTGCACTTATTTTATGCTTTCTTTGGAATGCCAAGCTTAAAGATTGTCATTGTGCTATTGTAGTCCGCTATGTTTGAATTTTAGTTTGATATATAAGATCAAATTTTGGGGATAGAACAGAATTAGGGATTTGACCATTAGAAATTAGCTTTAATATTACTTTTGGTTATACTTGATATACACTTTCAGTTTATAATGCTTAATAATTAAAATATTTGGAGATTAGTATTCAAGAAATGTGGCAATTTCAATGTATGCTCCTCTTCAATACGTTTTTTATGCGCAGCATTTTTTGTCTTGTTGCAGAACCAAACTTTGTGGAGTGTCGAGGAAGAAAAGAGACGTATCTGTCCATAGCTCTTTGCAACTGCTACAACTAGACGTGGTGAAAGCACTTTCTTCTCTCTTGTTTTTGTGATGTACGAATATGTATTGAACTTATCTCGCACAAGAAATTCACAAAACTACTTGCTGCTTTGCATATCTCTTAGATTGCTCGGTACGCAATTACATCATTTGGTGTGTTCGATGTAGTTATAAAGGGAAAACTAGTCTTGTTTGCTTGCCTTCTATTCTAACGGTCTTTTTTTACTTGGTTGCTTCGATGTGTTTACATTCGTACTTGATTGCATGGCTGGCTATCAAATGACATTGTAGAATTAATATCTACGTTTTCATCTTTATTGTGATTTTTGGGATGACCGGATTTTGGTATGTTCTACATTTTGATATAGGGCACCATACATATGTAACATCTAAGTTTTAAAGCGTTTTGTGAATTTTGGGGAGCCTGATTTTCCACTGTTATGTAGCAAGTTTGTGGGTTGGGGCACCATGCATACGTATACCATATTTATGTTGAAAACTATCGTTCCCGACATTTGGCTGCTATTATTCTCGACAGTTGGGTGAATCCCGACAGATGAACTGTCGTTCCCGACAGTTAGCTGCAGGCATTCTCAACAGATAACAGATGCCACTGTAAGGCAAAGTGCAATCATCTGTCGACACAGACTTTGGTGACAGTGTCTCGACACATGACTGTGGGCACTGACGACACTGCACGTGCATCGAGAAACAACACGTCTGTGGAACATTCATCTCTCATTACCGCATGTATTTTCGCACATTACAAAAAACTTTTGGTAACATTTTTTTTTTGTTGAAGATTGCTTGCACAATTCGCCACAATAAATGTTTACTGCAAGTTTGGGTAGATGATCTGTTCTTATACGTTTCTCGTATTACTTGTTCCAATTCATGTGGTTGTATGCTCTGCGGAAGTACGCTTGTAATTTGTAATATTCAACTGCTGTTAAATTATGGTCTGACCATTATCTTTTCATCTGCAGAAATTATGAAATTTCAATTTTGGGTGCCCGAGAATGGACGGTTTTTCACTTGTATCTCGCAACAGAGCAATTTGAAGTACATTAAAATAGTGATGGATAACTTGGACGACTGACTTTCGCAACTCCTGCCTTAGGTTTCTCGCTAACGTTCCAGAGATCCAATTTTCCGCTCAGCTAATCCAGGCACTGGTGTGTCGAGGGATCCGTTGCGATAAGTCCCACGAGTTGTGGTTCAATGTGCAGGGCCACCTAACCCGGTTTGGACTGCAGGAGTATGCTATCGTCACTGGACTGCATGCTAGGTCGTTTCCGGAGGTCGATTGGTACACAAAGACATTGGGGAAGAGGAGGCTGAAGGAAAAGTATTTCAAATCGCTAGAGAAGATTTCATGTGCCCAGTTGGAGAAGGCTTTTCTCCGCTCGTCGACACATCGAGAAGATAGATACAAGCTCGGGCTTGCTCTAATTATCGAAGGAGTTATCACTGCTCCAGACAACAATGTCGGCATTGATGAGGATACGCTTGCCCTCGTGGACGACCTGGAGCTATTTTTTTCATACCCCTGGGCAAAAGTGGGGTATAGGCGTTTGTTGAAGGGATTTTGGGGTACTTGGGCACGTAAAATGAGCGATGCAAAGACGAAGAACAAGAAGGACGTTAGTTACACAATTCACGGATTTCCGATCGTCATGCAGGTAAGAACAACATTATGTTTATGTGTTTTGTTTGTCAGTATTAGACCATGTCTCCACAGTGTTTGAATGGATATTAATGAGACAATTTTTTTGTTATTGTCCGGACAGATTTGGGCATATGAGGCCATGCCCGAACTCGGCGAACACTTTGGTGAGCGGGTGGGTGAACGCTCACCCCGACTTCTGTGCTGGACCTCTACCAAACAACCGCAACAGCGTACGTATGATGCGTTCTTCAGGGACGTACATGTCATGAATATTTTTCATTTGCCTTTCAATTATTTTGTTTTATTGGGAATAGTATGCAATATATTATAACTACGTGTTCTCCCCTATTTCCACAGTTGTATGTGCATGCCACACTGCGTCCTATGAAGACCGAGCGTGATCTGTCATACATCGCCAGTTTGGTACCGTTTCCCGACCGTCCGGTGTAATTTTTGGACAACCTCGCTAGGAGTGGTCGGGCCACAGTTCCATGAGGCAGTACCAGCCAGTGGGGGACATGAGGTATTTCCACAGTTGTATGTGCATGCCACACTGCGTCCTATGAAGACCGAGCGTGATCTGTCATACATCGCCAGTTTGGTACCGTTTCCCGACCGTCCGGTGTAATTTTTGGACAACCTCGCTAGGAGTGGTCGGGCCACAGTTCCATGAGGCAGTACCAGCCAGTGGGGGACATGAGGGTAGCACTGTAGGTGACAGGCATGACGACGAGTCCGGTGCAAGGGCTGAGGACGATGAGACATCCACGAGCGATGATCGTCAGACACCGGAGGGCAACGGGGACGATGTGTCTAAGGCTGATGACAGTGGAGAAAGCGATCGTGACACCTCCATCGAGACCGGTGCTGGTGACACCGAGGATGACGAGGAAGCCTCGAGACGACAGTCGGGTGCATTATCCACTCCAATGGTTGCCCCGTCCACATCTGTGGTGCAGGGTACGCGTGGTGGATCGACTTTGACGAGGGACAACGTGGAGGGCATGTTGTATGACCAGCGCATCCTCTTCGAGATGAGGTTGCGGACCGTGAAGCTTCAAATCGTGCAGCACGTGACCAACGAGTTTGCCAGACTGAGGGACTTCATATCTACCTTGGTGTC